GAGAGAGAGAGTACAAGCAGGGCGAGGGGCAGAGAGAGAGGGAGAGAAAGAGAATCCCAAGCAGGCTCCACCATGTCAGCATAGAACCCTATGTGAGGCTCAAACTCATGAACTCTGAGATCATGACCAGAGCAGAAACTAAGAGTCGGTGCTTAACTGACTGGGTTACCCAGACACCCCTCTGGTCTTTTTAAAAAGAGAGAGAGGGGCTCCTGGGTGGCTCAGTTAGTTAAGCATCCAACTTCAGCTCAGGTCATGATCTCGTGGTTTGTGAGTTTGAACCCTGCGTCGGGCTCTGCGCAGACAGCTCAGAGCCTGGAGCCTGCCTCAGATTTTGTGTCTGTCACTCTCTCTGCCCCTCCACCGCTCATGCTCTCTCTCTCAAAAATAAATCAACATTAAAAAATTTTTTTAATAAATAAAAATAAATAAAAAGAGAGAGACTTCTTTTCTGTTTAAGCTGCTTTATGTATTCTGTTGCATACAAAGTAAACTAATACTAATACAACAATGTTAATGTCATTTTGAAAATTATTCAATTTCTCACAAGATCTCAAATTATGTTAATGGAAAGGAAATATATATATATGTATATGAAATATAAATATATCACACTTATACATACATGGTGATTAGCATACCCTTCTGGAAGTTTGTTAAAATTCCTTCATCGGACAGTGGCCCTACCTCATATGGGCAATGCCATCACAGACCAGGCCACTAATTCATCAAAATCAATGTTTCAGGGAGTCTGGGTGGCTCAGTCAGTTGAGCCTCCGACTTCGGCTCAGGTTATGATCTCACAGTTTGTGAGTTCAAGCCCCACATCGGACCCACTGCTGTCAGCATAGAGCCTGCCTCCGAGATCTTCTGCCTCCCTCTCTCTCCTTCTCCCCTGATCGTGCTCTCTAACAAAAAAATGAAAATAAACATTTGAAAAAGTCAATTTTGATTTTTTTTTAGAAATACTTGTATAACTTGTGTATCAATCCTAGTTACCTCTTTATTAATAAAAACAATAACATTTATTACAATGCCATGGAAAATATGAACTCATAGATTGGCTATTACTCTTTCATTGCACTTGAAAAGCATATTATTATGTATGATCTTCTAATCTTAGATAATGGTGACCTCACCCATACATTTCAGTCTTTATTATTCTGTAATAGCCAGCCTCCAAGATGGCCCTCGATTCTCATCTCCTATATGAATACCCTTGAACCTCCCCATCTACTCTGAATCAGAGCTGGCCCTGGGCACCCAGCAGAATATGGGGGAAGTTACAACATGTGATTTGTGAGGCTAGGTCAGGAAAGGGATTTTAGTTTCCACTTTGGTCCCTTGAATCACTTACTCTTGGGGAAGCTATAACCATGTTGAGGTTCACATGGAGAGGAAATAACTTGTCGTGACAACTGCCAGCCACGTGAGAGAGTAGCCTTGGCATTGGGTTCTCCAGCCTCAGGCAAGCCTTCGGATGATTGCAGCCAACCTTTTACCTCAACTTGTTGAGAAACTCAGGGCCAGAACCACCGGCCAAGCTGCTCTTGAATTCCTGGCCCACAGAATCTATGGTGGGTAAAATGTAATTATGGTTGTTTTAAGTCACTATGTTTTATGATGATTTGTTATATAGCAATAGAAAATAGTAGGTATGCTAATGATATATTTTAGAATTTTGGATATTTTATAGAAATCAAACTGAGCTCATCATGTGAGGTCTTTCTTCTTTATCCTTTGGTCAATTTCTAATAATTGCAAAAGTTTTTTCCTCCTTTGTTCCCCAGAAAAACAAAAACTCAGTAATGGCAAATATAGATTTCCAGAAAATAGGTATTTTCTTTTAAAAAAGTTTTTTTTAATGTTTATTTATTTTCAAGGGAGAGAGAGAGAGACAGCAGGGAAGGGGCAGAGAGAGAGGGAGACACAGAATCCGAAGCAGGCTCCAGGCTCTGAGCTGTCAGTACAGAGCCTGATGTGGGGCTTGAACCCACAACCCGCGAGATCATGACCTGAACTGAAGTCAGACACTTAGCCAACTGATCCTCCCAGGCACTCCAAGAAATAGATACTTTTAACTATAAGTTAAAACTGTAAGTTAAACTGTAAGTTTCAGGTATATTTTATTGTATTTTTCTCAACTTGTTTCGAGTGAGCAGATGGTAATTTATTACCTATAGTTTCATGTAAAAATTCTTAATTTGGGGGTGCCTGGGTGGCTCCATTGGTTGAGTGCTTTTGAATTGCTTTTGAATTCAGCTCAGGTTATGAACTCAGAGTCATGGGATTGAGCACCACGTCAGGCTCTGGGTTGTGCATGGAGCCTGCTTAAGATTCTCTCTCTCCCCCTGCTCACACACTCTCTCTAAAATAAACACAAATAAAGAAAAATTTTTAAAATTAATTAAAAAATTAAAAATAATACTCTTATTTTTTAAAAGAATATCTACTTCAAAATTATTATTATTTCTGTTGTATCTCAGGTATTTCTTTCCAAATCTATTGTAAGTTTCTAGAGTCCTGGAGTGCCTAGTGACTTCGTTGATTTAGTATCTGACTCCTGATTTTGACACAGGTCATGATCTCATGGTTTGTGGGTTCAAGCCCCACATTGGGTTCTATGCTGACAGTGCAGAGCCTGCTTGGGATTCGCTCTCCCTCTCTCCTCTCTCTTTCTCTGACCCTCCCCACTCTCTCTCTCGTGCTCTATCTCTCTCTCAAAATAAGTAAATGAAAAACTTAAAAAAAAATCTCTAGAGTCGTCCCCCTAGATAGAAACTCCTTGTATTATAAACAAATCTTTTGCACAACTGATTTCCTCATTGGCATACTCATTGGTATGAGTCTCATGTTAAAGTAATACATCCTTAGTAACTATATTCCAACTTCTGAAAATATGAAATTCAAGGTTCTTTGACATTTTACAACTGGAAAAAAATTTTATATGTGTGTTCTGAAAGGAGACTTCGTTGTTATCCATGACCCAAATACCCTGTGTCCATGTGTTCTGATGTCTAGATTGGAGGTCTATGTTCTGGATTTGATCCTTGTAAAGCAGATATAGAGATGCAGATCCTCTGCCTTGTTCCAAAATATAGATTCCCAGCATCCATTTGCTGTTTTCAGAATGCCAGGGCAAAAGGCACTGGTTTTTGCAATTTACCCTGGACCCACCCTGGTCTTGTCATGGCTGGTGACAAGAGAAGAGAATTATAATCAAGTCTCAAGTAAACATTAAGCTCCACAGAGAGGTAATGAAAGTAGATGGCTAGAGGGGCGTAAGCGGGGTCTCCCTCTTAACCTTGACAGGAAGAAGTCCCATGGTCTGTGAGCTTTTGACTATGTAGGGCAAGGGTTTTCGAACGCTGAGAAACTTTTATTAGATCAAGTTCACTATGCAGATGGAAGGAAGACCTACAAGGAAGACCAAGGAGAAGCTTTCTCCTCTGAATACACTTTCCCAGGAAGCATCTGGGATTCTGAGTTAGGAAGAAAGAGGCACAGAGCCCATTTGGTGCATCTTCTCACCATGGAAACTTCCCCACCGTGGGTGGCTCCGCAATAGTAGGGCTCACAGCCGTACATGCTCAGCCGGCCTTGAAGAGAGGCACCTCTTTCTGTAGGAGGGAAGTGCTTCCAGGCAGAGAGGGAGGCTTACCCTGCCCTGCCCGGGTGCTGACAGCTGCTGTTTGCACAGACGGACAGACACTGGATGGCCTTGGACTTACTCGTATTGGAGACTTGATCTTGGTTCTCTAACTCTGACCCTTGGGAAAAATTTACCCAAACTCATTGTATCTCAGCCTTCTCATCTACAAGACCAGGGTGATAAAAGCCTCCCCACAAAGTTGTTGTGCAGACTAAATGGAGAGCAAGTCATCGCTTCACTCAGTGCCCGGCCAGTGCTCGGCATCTGCGAGCAAGGCTTCTTCCCACCCAAACAACTATCGGTGATGAGATTTTGGGGTGATGGTCGAGTTCAGAATGGACGGCCAAGAAAGAATTCTTGAAGATGTCTTTGGTGCAAAAAGCTGGTCTTATTAAAGCCCGAGGACAGGACCCCTGGGCAGAAAGAGCTGCCCTGGGGCTGTGAGGGGTGACTGATTATACACCTTCAGGTGGGAGGGGGGTAGGGACAGCGTAAGTCTCTAAGGTATTTTGGAGAGAAGGTTTCTACGACCTTGAGGGTCTAGCTGTTGTTACAAAAATGTCATTTATTACCGTTTAGTAAAAACCCAGTCATGAGCCTCTTCAGATGTGTATCGGGGCCTTAAGCTTGGAGTAGGGTTGCCAATATACACTCAGGGATTAAAGATAAAGGAGGTTTGCAAAGGAATTTTTATGTGTTTAAGGAGACTCCCAGGATCTTGGAGGGTCAGGATACTGTTAAGCCAAGATTCCCTTTAGCTCCCAGCAAAGTGTCATCATCATCGAGGCAGCTGAGCTCCTAGGGGAGGTCACTCTGCCCGTCTCAAAGACTTGTCGGTGGGCTGCAGGCAGTAAGGGAATCTAATTTTCATTTGCCTCTGTTTCCCACCTCACCATGGCGTTAAGCCCCCTTCCATCTTGATGAGGGTGATATTAAGGCTCCAGGAAACAGAGCCTATAGGTTTCTGGAGATTAGGCTGCGGATAGGATAAGATTGCCTTTTTCTTGCAGCTTAGTAAGTTCTCCGTAAACTGAATGACATCCCTCATGACCACGATCTCTGTCAGTCAACCATCTGCTTCCTTCCCTTTCCCCTGTTCCTAGGCAGCCAGGCGTGTCCGAGGAATATCACACACGTCCCATCTGGCAGGCGTCGGGGTGCTAGTAGCCTGTACTTTGCCCTCAGCCTGCCCCCCGCTCCCTCATCACAGGTGTGGGCTCAGCTCATAGCAAGGCAGCAGCTGTAGCGATCAGTTCTGGTTGCTGTAATGATCACCGCAGACGGGGCGGTAAGGGGTGGGAGGGGGAATGTGTGTGCTTAAGCAACAGACATTTATTTCTCACAGTTCTGGAGGCTGGAAGTCCAAGATCAAGGTGCCTGCAGAGCCCGTGTCTGGTGAGGGCCTGGTTCCTGGTCTGCAGATGGCCTCCTCTATGTCCTCAGTGGCTGAGAGCAGAGACAAGGTGATCCCAACTCTCTTCTTCTTTTGATAAGAGTGTTGATTCCATCCCTGAGGGCTCCACCCTCATGACCTGATCACTTCCCAAAGGCCCCACCTCCAAGTACCATCACCTTGGGGATTTAGGCTTCAGTATATGCTTGGGGGGGGGGGCTCGCACACATTGAGTCCACGGCACAGCTGGAATATTAATCCTCTCCTCTGCTCTTCCCCCAACATCCAGTCCACTCCAGCCTGCACCACAGCCGAGAGAAAGACTCAGGGGAATCTCTGAAGGAAGAAAGGTAAGCACAAAGCCACAGGAGTCTTGGAGAACCAGTTTCTCCAACCCCAAGGACGAGAGGGGGTAACTAGGCGGAGGGGAAGACTGCTAGAAGGAGGTCACTGGGTAAACAGAGGAAGAAGGACTGGCAGGCTGTCCTGAGGGCAGAGTGGAAGGGCCATAATAACCACTTAGCGTCCTTGAGTTTGGACGCCAATGACACACCTTCTGGGGACCCTTGCAGTCTAACCTGCAAGGCTACTTATAATCCTACCTCTGAGTAGAGGGTGGACCTGGGCACCCGGGTCCCGACAATGGAGGTGAAGCAGAATCTCCGCCTCTGACCAGGTGACAGTGGGATGTCCTCAGGACGGTCCTGAGCCCAAGACCGTGGTGGCACCTCCCTCTCACCCCCTCACCATCCTTCCTTTGCTGACACATGTGACAGACGCGGATGCCAATGGTCCACTCACAGACCCTTGAATAACGTGGCTCGTATGGTGTAGATATGTATTTTGGGGACCCTAGATGTTGGCAGGTTTCTATTTTTTTTTATTCTTTGTTTTTATATTTTTATTTATTTCTAGAAGAGAGAGAGAGAGCGTGAGCAGGGAGGGTCAGAGAGAGAGGGAGACACAGACTCTGAAATAGGCTCCAGGCTCTGAGCTGGCTGTCAGCACAGAGCCCGACACGGGGCTCGAACCCACGAACCGCGAGATCATGACCTAAACGAAAGTTGGACGCTTAACCGACTAAGCCACCCAGGCGCCCCGGCAGATTTCTGTTTTTAAAAAGTGATATTAAAAACACAAACAGGGGCACCTGGGTGGCTCAGTCGGTTAAGCATGATCTCACGGTTTTTGGGTTCAAGCCCTGCATCAGGCTCTGTGCTAACTGCCAGCTCAGAGCCTGGAGCCTGTCTTCAGATTCTGTGTCTCCCTCTTTCTCTGACCTTCCCCTGCTCTCTCTCTCTGACTCAGAAATAAAAAAAAAAAAAAAAAAACATTTAAAACACAAACAAACTGCCTTCCCTCAGCACTGTGAGTTTGCGGAAGAATGGACATTCTAACATAAAGGAAAACTTCAGAAGGGCAGTATTAAAGCAAAGGAGAATTCTTTAGGTTGAAGAAATTTGGTTTTCTTCAAAGTTAAGTGTCCGTGACTCTCTCTTCCACCTGGGGCGGGTGGCCTGGAAGGGGACCCCCTTTGAGCAGGTGCCCTGCTGGGGCCTGCCTTCCGGAGGGGTACTAATTGAGAGCCCAGCAGGCTGGCTGGCTCCTACACATTGATGCTTGGTGTCTGGGGGAACCCAGCAGAACTGAGTGGCTTCCTTGGGTCACTGCTTCCTCCTGGGTCACACAGAGTATACATGCCCATGTGACAGACTTGTTCTGAGGATCCAGTAGGTGACTTTCCACAAAGCACTTAGCTCAGCGCCCAGAACTAGGACAGGGCTTAGAAATGGCGGCTATTGTTGTTTTTCATTATTTTAACTTTAGAACGTCCAACAGCTGCTGCGTTTATCCAGGAATGACGGGTTTTCTCCTAATTCAACGACATCGCTTCAGCCGGCTTTAGGTATCGTCGGGAATCTCCATGACGTACTCATGCACGCCCAAGTGGGGCCCTCATTTTCGACCGTGCCTCTGAGTGATCCTGAACCTGTTTCACAATTGCTTCGGTTGAACGTGACCCCACCAGCCTGGCCACTCCTTTACCTCCGAGTGCTTGATTCTAAGAAATTCGTGCTCAGCAGGCATGGCCTGATTACACAGTCCAGTCGGGCGGTGAGCCTGCCCCCTCCCCCCGTGTTTTAAAGGAGGTTCATCTGGCTCGGACCTTCTGGAGTGACCTGGGGTGATCTCGATGTCTCTGTAACTTCCTTCCTCTCCTCCTCCCTGTGCACCCCACCCCTTCCCACGGATAATGAAGAGACGATTGTGTAAGAGACAGCCTGACCCACAAACTATGTGTGTGGACAGAGCCGAGAGGAAAGCTGACTGCCCCTGCCCCCCTCATGCTCTCTCTTTCTCTCTCTCCTTTTCAGAATAAATAAACAAACATTAAAAATAAATAAAAGTGGAAAAGTGTTCATGTCAAGCTTGTTTTGACTATTGAAAAGATGGGGATATGAGTTACCTTCTGTAATATCTGTATGAAATACCGAAGACATAGGTACCCTGAAATGAGTTACAGAAACAATCTGCGGCACCGTTATAATGAAGTAAAAGACACAGATATACGTCCCCAGCAATACAAATCCATGATTTACAAGTCATGAAACAAAAGATCAAAATTCGTAGCTTTGATTGCAGCTACTCCTCAGAGACTTCCCTGTGATGTTCAGTAATGTGAATATTGCGAAGATATCATAGCATCGTATAAATGATCTCTGGAGAATCTCGGGAGGAAAGGCGAGATAAGAAACAAGGTGGTTGAAAAACAGGAAAATGAATGAGCCTGTAGCTGGAGAAACCTCATTTTTGCTTAGTGATTGAACACTGCCTGTGACTATCCGTCCTTCATCACAGGGAATAGGTCCTGGTGCAGGTCTGGCGGATTGTATCAGACCATTAAAAAAACCCAATAAACAGCAGGAGTCTGGGAAAAGCTTGAAGCAGAAAAGAAGGAGAAAAGGAAACATCCAAAGCACCCCTCTGAGCCCTATTCTGATTTTATTTCTTTAGTTTCCTGATGGGAGTATGCAAATTTCTAGAGCCAAATCTGATGAAGTCAAAAGGCTTCAAAGAGATAAATTGAACTGATGGGATTTTATATTTTTATTTGCAAGCCTGGAGTTTTATTAAATACCTCTGATCCTTTAAACAGATATTTGCCAAGGATCCAGATTCCTCTTGGGTGAGGAATATGTAGCCTTTTGTGATTCACTTAGGAGGAGGAAGCAAAATTGATAATAATAAATTTTACAAGGCTTTAACTGATAGTACCCGACTTAGCCCGTTACATAACACAATGGTGGTAAGTATCAGAACGAACTTTTCGGTGCTTGGAACGGCCATCTTGTTGAAAATGAGAGAGCTCACGAAGGGGGCGCCCATCCATGATTATAAATGTATCGCTTTATGGGAATGTCACAACTCTGCTTGATTACGGCAGAGCCAGCACTTCCTGGTGTTTTCCTGCCCGGTTACATTTTCTCGGGGTCTATGGTAGGAGGACCGGACTGCTGCTGTCCTTAGAGCCTTGGGTGGGTGTCTGCCCTCTGCTATCCCCCATCCCGAGGCTGGGGTCCCTGGGCTCAGGAAGGCTCTCCACGCTGCCAATCACATTTGCTGGCCCTGCCACTCTCCAGGCTCTGTGCTGACCGGGGACCCGCTCTCCCCGGGGGTTCCCTCTTTATTTTGTCAATTTGTTTTGTTTGTACAGTATATAGAGGCCTGCCTGGTGCCAACTAACTCAACTGGCTTCTGAATGGGCGTTGTGTTCCCTTTTCACGGCTCTGGGTGTTCCTGGGCGCGCTCTGTGCTCTGCAAGGCCCCAGAGGGAGGGTTGAGAGGTGCGAATCAGGGGAAGCAGGCTGGGAATCACAGAAAGGAAATCTGCTGTCTGCCCCTCCGGAACAGAGGGGCACGGGGGCCCTCGGACGGGGTCAAGGTTGTCCTGAGTCAGAGGTGGTAGGGGGTGAGTGCAGGTGTTTCATGGGTGCCAGAGGCTCTCCTGGAGGCACTGTGAGATCCAGGAGAGCAAGGGTTGAATTTGCAAATCACGCAACAGGGAGTCAAAAGAGAAGCTCCCCTGTAGCCCGTGAGGCCACGGGGCTGCCTGCTAATGGGAGCATTAAGAGTGACAGGGAAATGTCTTTGTCCTCATCAGGAAAAGTCATCTCCAGGTAGCAATAAATTGATTCCTGAATACCGTGAGCAGCATAAATAAATAAATATATATATAAATAAATAAATGGCCCAGAAATGAAATTCTAATAGACTTGGTGGGAAGTAATTTGCGAAAAAAATCTTTCCTCTGCTCGGGATGCAAACAGCATCCCTGGGAGAGGTCGGCAGGTATCTCCGACACATTTTCTAATTACTAATGCTAATTACTTGCATCATCATTTGCATACCATTATGAGGCAGAAGCTACAGAGGGCCGAGGCTGTTGGATCTTTTTTTTCTCCTATTCATTCAGGAATGTGGAGACTTCCACCTGGGCTGAGCATTTTGCCAACAGACAGGCTGGCTGGGCTGGGATTTGTCCCCTCCACGTTCTCTGGGGGCTTCTGGTAATCGGGTCTCAACATAAATACAACTTAATCTGTACCTACGCGTATACCTGCACCATATCTACACCTGTACCCATACCTGTACTTACATTTGTACCTCTCCCTTTACCTGTACCTTCACCTGTATCTACATCTGTATCTATACCTGTATCTACAGCTATATCTAAACCTGTACCCAGACTTAAACCTATACATGTACCTGTACCTATACCTATACCATCTAGCTATATCTGTGTCTGTCTGTCTGCCTATCTATCTATCTATCTATCTATCTATCTATCTATCTCTCTACCTATCTCTAGGCCCATGGCCAGTTTGTGAAGCAGGGAGGCCAAATGGCCTGGTGGTAAGGAGTCCAGGCTGTGGAGTTAGATCCCAAGTCAAGCAGATGAGCACAGCTGCAGGCTGCGGTAAGGACGATTGTGACTAATTCTAGCACCTGACTGGTGTTGACTCATGTCCTGCTTCATGGGGCACTTTATTTCCCTCACTAAATTGGGGGTGATGTGCGGGGTGTGGTTCTGTGACCAGTGCTGTGGCCGTCAGGCCGGCCTCCCCTCCCCTACTCATCCTTAGGGAGCATCCCAGAAAGCAGCAGCTTCTGCATGTCACCCCCACCTCCTTGACCTCCTGCTGCCTGCAAAGGGTTACAGTCTGCAGGGGGGAGCCCAGGGGGGATGTTCATGGGTCAGGGGTGGGGGGTGGGGAAGCTGACCTGCCTCATTCAGAAGAAAGTGTCTGCCAAGCTGACTGATGGCTTCCTGGTTTTTTGGCTTTTGTTTGTTTTCCTGATTAAGAAAAAAAAAAAAAAAAGACAGCAGGAAATTGTAGAAAATCAATTACATGTATATTTTTTAAGTTCAGAAGATGGAGCAGGTATTATTCAATCTACCTACATAGTCTCTACTACGGCAGAAATTTTATCTCTTATGGGTGCCTGGGTGGCTCAATCAGTTAAGCGTCCAACTTCACTTCAGGTCATGATCTCACAGTTCATGAGTTCAAGTCCCATATCAATCTCTCTGCTGTCTGCATGGAGCCCACTTTGGATCCTCTGACTCCCTGCTCTTTGCCCCTCCCTTGCTCTTGTGCACTCTATCTTTTTCTCTCACAAATAAATATACATCAAAAAAAAATTCACCTCTGGTTTTCCTCTCCATATTTGTCTATCTTTATGATTTTTAAAATGAGAAGTGGGGATGAAGCCACTTAAAATATAGCTAGTCAACCTTTGCTATTCTAACACTGAGGTTTAAGTGTTATTTCTTAAAAGGAAAATAAAATGGGAAATTTCCTCCTGGTACAATATAGAGCCTATGATTATATTATAAACAATATAGAGCAATTATTTGAGATGTGAAATATGGGGTTTTATTAACAAATGACAGAATCAAAATGTCTTTGTAGTTTGCTAAGTTATGATTTGTTGTCTGCTAATGTGCGTGAAATTATACGTATGAAGTCTTGCACAGAGTTCCAAAATGAACTTTGCTGCACTTAATAACATGTTGTTCAATGAACACATTACATTCCACTCCACAGTAGTTTTCTGAGCCTTTTTCCTGCAGGTATAATCATAGCCCTTGCACTTTTGCAATGTACTAACGCATATGTAAGTGTCAATCTTCGCGTGAAATCACAAATCTGGTCCGTGACTCAGTGCTGCCCTATATTAGTGTTTTGTTGGTACCTATCAAATCATCACAAACTTAGCAGCTTAAAGCAACACACTTCTATCACCTCATGGTTGCCGAGGGCCAGGAGTCTGGACCTGGCATAGCTGAATTCTCTTCTTGGGGTCGCACAGAGCTACAGTCTATATGTTGGTCAGGCTGCATTCCCATCTGGAGGCTCAACTGGGGAAGAATCTTCTTCCAAGCTCCCTCTTGTTGTTGGCAAGACCTTGGGACAGTGGCACGGAGGCTCCTATTTTCTTGCTGGCCATCAGCAGGGGACTTGCTCTTGGTGGCTTCCAGATGCCTCCCATGATCCTCTTCCCCACCCCCACCCCCACCCCTAGCTCTCCCATAGCCAATTCATAGCTGTCTGCGTCTCTCTCTGTGGCACTCAAGGGGAGAGGATTACTCAGGGCATCAATTCAGGGTGGGGATGATGGGGCCACCTTAGGATTCTGTCTACTAGTGGCCATTTCTTTGTGGCTCCAGCCCAGAGCTTTAGGAGTATCTATGGGGGTTATAAACTTGTTTTGATGGACAGGGAAGAATGGCATTTAAAAAAATTTTTTTAACATTTTTTATTTATTTCTGAGAGAGAGAGAGACAGCATGAGCAAGGGAGGGTCAGAGACAGAGGGAGACACAGAATCTGAAATAGGCTCCAGGCTCTGAGCTACCTGTCAGCACAGAGCCGGACGTGGGGCTCAAACCCACGAACCATGAGATCGTGACCTGAGCCAAAGTTGGCTGCTCAACCAACTGAGCCACCCAGGAGCCCTAAGAATGGCATTTGTATTCCCAACTTAGATTTAGAGAATTTGAGAAACTTCGCTGCTTATTTGCTTAATTGTTCATATATTTTTGGAGTATAGAATCTGCTAGAAACTCTTCACCTACTGGGCACTTACCCTCCAGCATGCTGATTAATACGGCCTGCTCCCCTGGCCTCCAGGTAGGACAGTTTTCTGGAGACACCTTTCCCTTCCATTCTGTTGATTAATCCAAAGCTAGATTTTATCTGAGGCCACATTCTTGCTTTGTTCCTTCCCTCTCCTGCTTTCTCCCTCCCTCACAGAAGTCACCTAAAGAGCGTCTTTTCAATAC